TCAAATTCATATCAATTTATTATGCTGGAGACGCATCTGTAGTTTACACCACCCCCCGATTTCACAGCAAAAGACACCAAGTGTTATTATCAGCAGCTAAACCCCTTCGTTTGGCAGCAGACATGGCGTGCGCTGCCTCGTGAGCTGTCAGCGATGTTGGAAATCAGCTGCGCTTCACTCCACCTCAGTACCTTTAGTCATGCTTTTGATCTTTCCAAGAGGAGACGGAACAGAGACGTAGGAGCCATCTGGAAGAGATGCATATTCAGACACGTTAGCAGGAGATTATGTGGGGATTTTAATCCAGATAATATATTTCAAGTGGTGACTAACCCCCTCCTGGCTGAGAGTACTCATTGCAAGGAGAGTCATCTGGACGTTTGTAGTGTTTTAATAAGGTGACGATGGCATCATGACCTGGAAAAAACAGGAAGTGAGCAGCAACATTTATTTCAGCTTTCCAAGCTTGCCGAGCTCATAATAGTCTAAGCAGACCTTTTTCATAAGCCCACATGAGGCATGTCTGCTCGTCTTTCTCTCCACTGGACCTGCTGGGGTCGCAGGCGACAAGGTTCATGTCTGCACCGCTGTCCAACAAGAATTGTACCAGGCGGATATGGCCATGGAAACAGGCGCTGTGCAGAGCTAAACAACACCACAGGACACAGAGATAATAATGGAAGTCAGTGCACTGTAAGAAATTAATAAATCAATTAGTAAACGACTCTCACCTGTGTGTCCATCTCTGCCCTGATAGTTGATGCTCATGGCATTCTGGCTCAACAAGAATTTGACCATCTCCAGATCTTTCCCGTAGGTGCATGCACTGTGACATGAGATGTGGATTTAACATCACCTCAGAGCAATACGTCCACTGTGAAATGTGTTTTTGCACACTATAAATTAAGCTAAATATACCTATGAAGTGCTGTTTCACTGAATATATTCTCCTTTGAAAGGCTGTCTGTACCAGAGTACTGTATTAACTCCTTCACGGCTGTGAATTTGCCGTTGTAGCAGGCCCTGATGAGACATAGCATTCATTGCAATTCATGTCATGTACCAAAAACTCAGAGAAGAGAAACTGCAGATGATTTACAAGTGTAACGGCGTATCCCCATAGATGTTCACAGAGTGAGGCTGTACATCAAAGCTGCCCTGCAGAAGAAAGCGGACGACTTCATGGTGACCAAAACGAGCACAGAAGTGGAGGGGGACGTGATCTTCATTGTCTTGGGCATTCACTGGTGGGGGGAGAATACAAATGTTAGAGGGAATTCAAATTTAGAATTCAAGTAGCTTCTCTGTGGCTTCTGAAGAAGGGAAAAAGCTTAAATGCTTTGTATCAATTAAGGATGCAACGATACCAATTTTTTCAAACCGATACTTGGATCTGAGTACTTGCCGATACAGAGTACAAAAACCGATACTTCTACCACACACAC